GGGCAATCCTACTTCCGTAGTGATACTGCCTTGGAAACCCAAGGAGGGGTCGCTATGAGTCAGGGCTGACTCAATGGCACATAACAACAACAACATAGAAGAGAAAACTCACTTTGAAGAGATTCATGACTCATTACAGTCATTACTCGTTCTGTATAGTTTTCTTTTAAATGATGTTTTCTTCTAATGCTGTGTTCCCCACTGAGTATTTAGAAGATGTTAATTATAAGATTCTACTGTTCTAAGAATAAGGAGCTCTGGTGGTGCAGTGGTTAAAGCATTGGGCTATTAACCAAAAGGTCAGTGGCTCAAACCTACTAGCTGCTCCACAAAAGAAAGATGAGGCAGTCTGCTTCCGTAAAGATTTACAGTCTCAGAAACCCTATGGGGCAGTTGTACTCTGTCCTATAGGGTCGTCATGAGTTGTGATAGACTTGCTGGCAGTGGGTTTGTTTTTTGGTTGGTTCTAAGAATGAATTAGATGGACCTTAGTAGCTTAAAGGAACTGATGCAGATCCCTAAAGTGAACACTTCTCAATGGGAGTCCTCTTGGTTATATTTTGACATGCCTAGGAATATATTTCTGTCTTCTTCAAGAAGTTCTATATGGGATATGAAACTGAACCAGAAGCAAGTGCATATTCTTTAAAATAAAGGACAAAGAATAAATCAAGTTTCAATAAAAGTTACAGAATAAACTTTTACCATAAATAAAATTATCTTAAAAAGTAAATGGATCCTGAATAAAATAAAATTTTTCTATGTGGAAACATATTAAGGAACAAAAATCAATTTGATACCTGCATTTTATTTTATTTTTAATAAGTTTCCATATAGAGAATAGATACAACCTGGAGTAATGACCCTTTTAGGCTGTGAAATGCCTGAAAAGCATTTCTTTATAATATGAAGAACTATTATAGTCGGCACTTTTAAGTAGGATAATTAAAGTTTGGGGACTTACCTGGCAAAAGCTCAATTGAACTACTAAAGTCAGCTGCTGAATATGCCTGTACAAGCATTATTTATTTATGTAAGCTGTAACCTTGCATGTGACTAATCAAAATTTTTAAGACCTAGACTTTTGTTTTAGTATCATAGTTTTTACAGGTCCTCATGTAAAATCATTAGTCTACCAAAAGATGGCAGTTTTGTTCCTCACAAGTTTCTGTTACTGTATAAAATAGAAATTATAGTGTCTTTATTTTTCGTGCTGTACCTAGCACGTTTTACCCTCTATGAGAATACAAAGTTTTTAGACATAAGGGAAAAAATGAGGTTTTATGAAACTGTCCATCTCTTTTGTTATCTTTTAGAAGTTTGTAATTTTTAAAGGAAATGTCTTTCTGCTTTTTGGCTTCTTTAATAATGTGCTGGTATTAAATTGTGTTCTTCAAATGATCCTGACTAAAAGCTTTTAAAATACACATTACTTCATTTTATTTTAAAAATTTAGGGAATGTGAAGCAGAAAATTATTCCCTCCACCACCCTTCTTCTTTTTGTTTTTTTGTTCTCCTTAAGAAATCTCAGCTTGTTGAAAAAGACCCTTTTTTCCATAGGCAAATATGGCCAAATTCAGCTCCCTCTGCTGAAACATGGACATTTTACTCCAAATTGAAGAGTTCTTTCATAAGGAATGTAAGCACTTGGTATTTTGAATAGTGGCTTATTCAAAAAGGACTTGATAGACTTAACAAAGTTAAGTTGTGATTTGGGTAAAAGTTTACAAAGCAGATTTCATTTCACATTCAATAATAGTTCATACACATTTTGTTTTGTGACACTGGTTACATTCCCCACAGTGTAATATCTCATCTTCCATTCCCTCCCTGTGGTTACCTTGTACTGTGTCTTCTATGCATTCCTGCCTCCCTATCTTTCTCCCTGTGTAAATGCTGCCCTTCTGGTCTCCCATGGTAGATTGTTCTCAGGAGTGTGCTTCCCTGGTGCAGGTGTTCAGCTCGTAGGCCCATCTATAATTTGGCTCAAAGTTAAGCAATGGGAGTGACTTCCATTCCAGGAATGCATAGGAGGACGCAGGTACAAGGTAACCACAGGGAGGAAGTAGGAGATGAGATGTTACACTGTGGGGAATGTAACCAGTATCACAAAACAAAATGTGTATGAACTATTGAATGTGAAATGAAATCTGCTTTGTAGACTTTTACCCAAATCACAATAAAAAGTTGTTAAAAAAGCAGGCTTGTCCCTAATAGCTGCTGAATCATTTTACTACTTGAGCAAAAACAAAAGATGAGAGAGAAAATAGAAAAGAATGTGTTATTTATTTTACTTCAAAATGGACCTATTTAGACTTTTGATACCTTTGTTTCTGCACGTACTGAATTAGTAATACAAAGATCCATCTGAGAATAAACTTCTAAATATTATATGCTAATCAAAAGGCTGGTGGTTCAAACCCACCAGCCACTCGGAAAGAAGGTCGGGCAGTCTACTTCCATAGTGATACCACTTCAGAAACCCAAGGAGGGGTCACTATGAGTCGGATCTGACTCAGTGGTAGTGAGTTTGTTTTTTTGGTTGTTTACACTATTAGTATGAGATCCTCAAAATAAGAGGGTGAATTTTTTTGAAACCTGTTAACATATTTTCTAAAAGTAATTTAGAAGACCAGAAACAATTTGAAAAGGTCCTGCCAAGATTTAGTAAATGGTCTAAATTTACTATTTTGGGGGCATCCAAAGAAGTATTTGAGTTTTTAAAAAGGAGATAGTATAGTACTATGGAAAGATCAGGGGAATCCAAGGTCAATGTATTTTATGTATATTTCTAACTTTTATCAAATCACTTAATTTCAATCACTAATTAGATTGATTTTTGATCAGTGATTGATTAATGATTATAGTTTTCCAATCAATATTAGTAACAGCTAATATCTATTAAATACTTAATATTTAGGGTTTGATATGCTTTTTAGGGGTCCTTATGTCAATTCCTTGATGGGGATTTTTATCCCAATTTTATAAATAAGGAAACCAGAGAGGTTAAGCAGCTTGTCCTAATTAACACAGCTAGTAAGTGGCATTGTTAGATTTCAGATCTGGGTCTGGACCTGCCTCTAATAAATATTTTTTATTATTTGCTCAACGTACCTTCAAAGGGAAGATGTGAAGACAGAATGTACTTTATGTTTCATTAGTTTATATTTTCTAATGTACTTTTTTTAATGATGTTATGGTACCTTTAAATTTATGAGACCTTTAAACTTGTTGATTTTTCCACACCTGCTCTCCATCCCACCCCCAGCTTCATTTAAAGGACAAGAAACGATTTGAAAAAGCTAATCGGGATTCAAGTCCTGGTTTGAGTCTTGAAGAATTTATTGCTTTCGAGCATCCTGAAGAAGTTGATTATATGACGGTAAGGAAGAAAATATTTAAGAGAATTATTGAGTGACCAAAATTTTAAGACCTATGTTTAAAATTTAAAAATTTAAATTAAAATGATTTATATAGCTACCAGAAGATCCAGCATTTTCTCCATCTAAGATTAGAAGTGGGAAGAAGGGGTAGGGTGGTGATAAAAAACAAAAATCTATTGTCATTGAGTTGATTCCAACTCATAGCAACCCTATAGGACAGACTAGAACTGCCCCGTTGGATTTCCAAGGCTGTAATCTTTATGGGAGAGCTCTGATAGTATAGTGCCTAAGGCACTTGGCTGTTAATCAGAAGGCTGGAGGTTCAAACCCACCAACCACTCCTCAGAAAGAAGGTTGGGCTGTCTACTTCCATAGTAATACCACCTCAGAAACCCAAGGAGAGGTCGTTATGAGTCGGATCTGACTCCACAGCACATAACAACAATAGTCTTTATGAAAGTGGATCACCAGATCTTTCTCCACCTGGCCTTTTTCTTACTGACTTTTTGGTTAATGGCCTAGCGCTTAACTACTTCACCACCAGGGATAGTGCTATGGGGTGCTTATTGAAAGAGAAAGTAAAGTTTTTTGTTTTTTCTTTAAATTTCCTTATTGTATATGAGCGTCAATCTCCTTATAGCTGTTTTCTCTCTCACAACCATTTTACCTTCAATGCCTTATTTCTTTTGTAGCTTTCAGACTTTCTCTATTTTTTTTTCCCTTAGTATTTAAAAACAGAATAAAACTTTCAATTTAGTTTCATCACACAACATCATTTATGAAATATTTTAGTCTGGAAAAAAGTATGTCATGATTGGATTATTTTTTCCATGGGCTATTGGGGGGGGGATGTGCTGCTAGTGACTATTAATATTTTTACAACTTTAGGCATAATGAATTCTTAGCTCTTAAAAGAAGTACCAGCTCTTCAAAATTTTTGTTAGCTCAATAAACATTGATTGAGTTACTACTATGTCTTGGCAAGTTTCTTGAGGGCACAAACCATCATACTGGGGAGTAAAGATTAATTAACAAATAAACCAAAACCTAATCCATTCCCATTACATTGATTTTGACTCATAGTGACTTTGTAAGACAGAGTAGAACTGTCCCATAGGGTTTCCAAGGCTGTAATCTTTACAGAAGCAGACTGCCACATCTTTATCTTGTGGAGCAAGATTCAAACTGCTAACCTTTTAGTTAGCAGCCGAACACTTAACCACTGTGCTACCAGGGCTCCTAATGTAACAAATAGTGTTTAAAAGATTGGCTGACACCTAGAGAGAACAATCATGGGAAAAGGAAGGGCTGCTTATGCACAGGGAGAAAGCTCAGGGCGCAGGAGAGTACGGAGGGATGGTCACTGGGAAGAGGTAACTATGGGGAGGAAGTGGGAGGGGAGCTGTTGCATTGTGGTAAACTGTGGTCAATGACATGAGACAAAGTATATGTGAACTGCTGTATGGAAAATGAATTTGCTCTGTAAATCTTCACCCAAATAAAAATAAATTAATTAATTAATGTTTTAAAAAAAAAAAAAAGATTGGCTGACATTTATATGGAGTTTGTGCATGGCATCAGCTTCATCTGGGAGGCTTGCCCTGGATAGTTCAGGAAGGAAGATAGAGCATTTTTGTTTAATGGGGCACAGTCGGAAGTTACTGCCTTGAACAACTGGGCTGCAGATACATTTTTCCCTATAGCTCAGTGGTAACCACCACCATTAGTACCACATCTCTTGCCACTGTGAGGCTTCTGACTTCTCACTTGGCAGAATATTCATGACCTAGTTTAAAAACAGTGCAGAGTACAATTTGTTTAAGTGCCAAAATTAATTTGGAATAAGATTATTGAACCTGAGAACAGCAGTCAGGTTGCTGGGTCTTTATATTCTGGGGAATTAGGAAAATTTGAAGACTTTGAAAAGGGGAATGACCAGTGGAAAAAAATGAAATAATGCGGGTGTTATGTGCTGTAGCCCTGGTGTATGATTTGGTAGTGGAATGACATAGATTTGAGCAACATTTTGAAGAAAACATAAACATGACTAAAGTATGATGGAAAGAGAAGAGTCAGAGATGACACTGAGGTTTTGAGTTTGTATGACAACAACAAATGTAGTACCATTGACAGGATGGGGAAAGTAATCGGTTATCTTTGACATTCGTTAGAGTTGATGGCAGCGCATAAATGGTGTCTCATTTCAGAGCAGCTTCATTATTTCCTGTTTACCTTAATTGTTTCTGTGTATTCCTTTTGCCCCGTATAGGAAACGATCAAGGGTACAAGAACAAGCTAAGTGATTCCACTTTGGATTAAAAGTCAGAATTTAACTTTAAAATTATTGTCATTGATATAGTTCCAAAAATTCCTGAATCCATGTTAGCACTATTGAAATATGTCTCGTCTCCCAAGAGAATTATTTTGCATGGAGGAATAATCATTTTGATCAGTGGTTCTTAACTTTTATTGGAACACAGACTCCATTAAGAATCTGAGGCACATGATAAACTGTGTCCCAGAAAATCACATAAGGCTCCTACCACAAAATATCCACTGTCATTGAGTCATTTCCGACTCATAGTGACCCTGTAGGGCAGAGCAGAACTGCCCCATAGAGTTTCCAAGGCTGTAAATCTTTACAGTAGCTTACTGCTTTATCTTTCCCCCCTCGGAGTGGCTGGTGGGTTCAAACTGTAACCTTCTAGTTAATAGCCGAATGCTTTAACCACTGCATCACCAGGGCTCCTCTACCACAAAATATTGGATATAATTTCAGGAGATTCTCAGATCCCTCTCCCCCAAAAGAACTAATCTTAGGATGCCTAGATTAAGATGTCCTGGTTTCTGTATTTAAAATCTGTAGTAATTGGTTTAAAAGAAAAAATGTATATGTAAGAGATGTTTCATGCAGATACAGACAAAGCCTCTGGATTTGGCAAGAATGAAGGCATTGGAGACTTTTGAGAATCTATTTTCACAAAAACTGTGATGCTGGAATCCAGATTAAAAGAAATTAGGGAGGTAGCAGGTAGTGAAGAAATGAGAATAGTTGTTGTTATTTGCCATGGAGTCAGACCTGACTCATAGCAACCCCTCCTTGGGTTTCTGAAGCAGTATCACTATGGAAGTAGATTGCCCAACCTTCCTCCCAAGGAGTGGCTGGTGGGTTTGAATTGCCAGCCTTCCGGTTAGCAGTCAGGTGCCTTACGCACTGTACTACCAGAGCTCCTATCAATCAACTAGCTGTAAAGAGTATGATAGGGAAACTGAGGCAGAAATAAATTTCCAGCCTGCAGTGAGGGCCCACTGACACTCCAAAAATTAATTTGTAATGATCAGATTTTTATTCTTGTCTCTTTTTTTTTTTAGACTTTATGGCTTTGGAGTAGAAAAGGAAAACGTGAAGTGGGTCGGAAGTGCAGGGTGGGGATTAGCATAATAAGAATACAAGATAGGTTAAAGTAATGAAGTATTAAAGCAGCTGACCATGAAACAGGGCATCTTGGGTCATGTGTAACTCAAAAACCAAACTCAGTGCTGTCGAGTCATTTCCAACTCCTTGGTTTTCTGAGGTGGTATCAACTGCAGAAGTAGATTGCCCAGTCGTCCTTCTGAGGAGTGGTTGGTGAATTTGAACTGCCAGACTTCTGGTTACCAATCAAATGCCTTAGGCACTATGCCACCAGAGCTCCCCAAGTGTAACTAGAAAGGGTCAAAACTTTGGGTTAGAGCAAAGGGTTGGTTGATAAGGCTTGATAAGAATGAGGAACAAGTTTGGGAGACATTTGGGGATGGTTGGAGGTAGATTTGGTAGAAGAGAAAGCAAGGAGGTTGAGATTTTTGAAGGATTGCAGATTTCAGATTTGTAGGTAGAACAGTTTTATACAAAAAGATCTAAAATAAGGGTTCTTTTTGGGTTGTTGATAGATTGGAGTTAAAGATGTTGAGGGCAATAACAAATGTCATTCTCAAGAGGGAGGGTGATGTGCAGAAAGTTGTTGTTGTTATGTGCCATTGAGTTGGACCTGACTCATAGTGACCCCTCCTTGGGTTTCTGAGGCAGTATCACTACAGAAGTAGGATTGCCCAACCTTCCTTCCAAGGAGTGGCTGGTGGGTTTGAACCACCAGCCTTCTGGTTAGCAGAAAGTAGTATGAGTTTAATGCTGAGGTTGTTGAGGAGTGTGCAAGTAGAATTCTTCATAAACTTAGAATGCTAGACTTTAATGCTACTTAGTAGTAGGAGTTTTATTTTTGCTTCTAAATTTCAATGTTTAGGAAAGATTGTCCTGCAAGTATGGATAACCAAAATGATTATTCCTAAAGAAATCCCACAATAGGATTGATTCAGATGGTGCTGAGATTGAAATATTTGTTGTTTTTATGAACATGTTATAGGAGTTTGTCATTCAAGAAGCTTTAGAAGAACATGACAAAAATCATGATGGATTTGTTAGTTTGGAAGAATTTCTTGGTGATTACAGGCGGGATCCAAGTAAGTAACCTGGGGCAATGTGGAAGGAGGGAAATAAAATACAATTAAAGAAAAAAGAAATTGAAAGATAGCTTTGCTTGTTGAGCACTCTTAATTAGAGAAAAATGGAACAAGAGAAATTGTGCCTGATTTCTACTTGTTAACTAAGTTAACTGTAATGTAAGTGAAACAGGAAATGATAGCTTATCTGAGAATACTTTTTGTTCCATATCTATATTCAAACTTTTTTTTTCCTTTTCAAACAAATATAATATGATTATGAGTTCAAATGAGGAAATAAAGATTATTTTTTAACAAAATCTAGTATCTTTACATCTTAAAAGACAAAGAAACATAAAATACTATAAATACTGGTATATCAAACCAACCCAAATACTGGTATAGAATGTAGAAAATGACTGAAAGTCTGAAATTAGGGGAGTTTGTATGCAGGCTCTTTTATCAGTAGCTGTCTTTTTCAGAATTGTTGCTTAAAGGCATTGAACAATGCCTTTTTAAAGTTGGTCACCGGTTTCACTTAATGTGAATATCAGTTAAAATTATACATGGGATTACTATTAAGAACATGTTAGAAACTTCATATAGTCGCATGGTATACATAAAAGAAAACATTATCCAACTGAAATTTAGGAAAACTAGGTATCTGGACAAGTAGCAGCAGTTAAGATCACTAATTGGTATTAATATGCAACTGTTTTAAAACTGAGTAGCATGTGTCACTATCAAAAATTACTATTTGTACTTATTTTAAGACTTTTCAATTAAGTAGTTCTGTTTCATTGATATAGTAAGTTTTAACTTTCTTTATTCTAGGGATATACTGAATTTCTTATTGAATATATATGATAGTCTCATGCTTGTGTTTTCTTTATATTAAGCTGCAACTGAAGATCCAGAATGGATACTTGTTGAGAAAGACAGATTTGTGAATGATTATGACAAAGATAACGATGGTAGGCTTGATCCTGAAGAGCTATTACTTTGGGTAATGCCCAATAACCAGGGCATTGCACAAGAAGAGGTGAGAGTGACAGAACGACTGTCCTTTTTTCGTTTACTTGTTTTCACTGTGGTGCTATGGATAGGAAGGAACTTCAAAACAAGTATTAAAACCAAAGTAAGAAGTAATGGGGTTATTAAAGGTTGATGCGTTGCTCCATTTTGATTTAAGTCTGTGAATTGTTTTAGATTATCAGGGAGAAAAGGGAGTTAAGACTGTCATGCATTACTTGGAATAGAATAATAGAAGTTTACATTTATCTATAGAATTTTTCTTCTAAAGGTCTTAAAGTGGATTGTACTAATTTTTCTTTATCCTTGTGATATTCTGGATTGGATTTGAATGAGTAGGAGGCAGAGTCCAGCATATGTTAAGACAGAAGATAATGGGAGAAGCAGTAGACAGATCCAGTTATGATGTGCAAAATTTTGAGATACTTAATAAGTACTTGACGTACTGGAATGCTTTTGACAAATGAAAACCCAAACATAAAAATGTGAACATCTTGCTGAAAATATTTGTTACATTTGACACCTTTTTGCTATGTTTTATTTTAAAGGCTCTTCATCTAATTGATGAAATGGATTTGAATGGTGACAGAAAGCTCTCTGAAGCAGAGATTCTGGAAAATCAGGACTTGTTTCTTACCAGTGAAGCAACAGATTATGGCAGACAGCTCCATGATGAATATTTCTATCTCTATCATGATGAGCTTTAATCCCCGAGTATGTTTGAATAGAATACTGATTCCTTTTATAATTTGTTACCAGCTTTACTTTTGTGATAAAATATTGATGTTATATTTTACACACTAAGTCTTACCATAGTCAAAATTATCTTAATGTAATAATTTTGGCCTTTTAGAAGAAACACAAAACAAAAGCCTGATATTTATTTCAAAACAAATTTGAAGACATAAAACATTAATATTGTGCCATATGACAATAAAGTCTTTCCTAAATACTCCATCTGTTTAGTACTGTATTGTGGAATATTTGAGTTGTATTTCCATACTTGAAAAAAAAAAAGAGAATTTTAGAGATGCCTGAGCAATATTATTTAAGTAGTATGTGACTGAGTTATCAATTTTTAAGTAGATTTAATTTGGGAACTAACACAAAGAACAATGTTTTTAGATTTAGCATTTTGTTTTAAAACCTTTAAAGGAACCTTTAGAAGGACTTATACCTCACATATTAATGTTGAGAAGTTCTGCTTAATTTTAAAATGGTTTCTATAAAGGAGTTTATTGTATGCAATAGAACTTTATATTTTTGCATATGTATAGATATAGTAATTATATTTAATGTATAACAATAGCATTATGGTGTATAGAATTTGACATTGTCCAGAACTGTTTGCATTTTTGACTGATTAAAAATGAAATGTCCTATCTTTTTATATGTTTGTTTGATTTTCCTTAATCTTCCAGATAAACCTTGAATTTAGCACAGGTTTGGTTTTGTTGTATATTATCGCACCTCCTCTTTTTCTGTAATGTTTTCTGTAAGTGTTTTCAAAATTTAACAAATTAATCTCACTGCATATCCTTATTTTGCTTTTTTTCTTCCTTGATAAAAGAATCATAATTGAATGTACACTGGACACATTATAGTTGCTTTTGTGGCAAATGTGGTCTGGTCTTGCTGTTTGTGCCTAGAAATAATCTTAAAAATTACACATATTGGATATTACCAGTAGAGCTCAATAGCAATTATAACTGAACTTAAAATCATACTTGATAAGCATTTGTCCATACATCACTGGTCAGTTTTAATCTTATTCAGGAGATCAATTTATTCACCTAAGGGGGGCTGGGGAAAAGTGAAAGGTCCTTAGGTGGTGCAAAGTGTTTGCACTTAACCACTAACCTAAAGCTTGGTTCACACCCACCTAGCTACACTGTGAAGGAAAAGCCTAGCCATCTGCTTCTGTAAAGATTATAGACAAGTGTCTTAGTTCCCTAGCATTGCTATAACAAAAAGTGGATGGCTTTAATAAACAGGAATGTATTAATTTACAGTTAAGGAGGCTAGAAGTCTGAATTCAGAGTGCCAGGTCTAGGGGCTGGGTGAAGACCCTTTGACCTTGGGCTTCAGCTCTGCCTCTCATTCCAGGCCCGCTGGAGCTGGAGGCTTCTTCTGACTCAAGTAGCTACTGGCTGCTGACACTGATGAACTTAATATTGGCAGGCAACACAGCAGACCATTGGTTCAAGTCCAGAAATAATCCCAAGAATGGCAGGCCACTGGTTCAAATCCAGGAACTGAAGATGAAGACTAGGCCAAAAGCAGGATCCAAAATATGCCAAAAAGCTAGAGACCTTTCCCAAAACTCCATATATGCTAGAAGCAGGCCACACCTGAAGGTAACTCCCCTTCAACTACTTAGCTGCTCACAGCAGATTCCATCGTGGAGATAATTACAATCTCATAAGGGGGCATAACTACATCTAGCTGCCAAGCCACTCAAAACCATGGCACAACAAAGTTGACACACATCCTTAACTACCAGTCCAAGAAAACCTAATGGAGCAATTCTGTGTAGTGCATGAGGTCACTGTAAGTCAGAATCCACCCTATGGCAATGCTTGTTTTGTTTCATTTTCAGAGAAAAGTGAAATACCTGGGTGGTACAAACCGAGCTCAGCTACTAACCAAAAGGTTGGCAGTTTGAATCCATCCAGTGGTGCCATGAAAGAAAGGCCTAGTGATCTACTTCCATAAGATTACAGCTATTGTAAACCCTATGGAGCATAGTTCTGTTCTGACACACATGGGGTCACCATGAGTTGGAATACACTTGACTGCAACTTGTTGGTTAGGGAATAGTGAAAAGGTAAGGAATTCATTTTCATATAGCTCTGATCCAGAGACAGTTTTTCTTTCTTTTTTTAAAAATTGCTTTTATTTGTGTGTAAAGCCAGCTACACATTCTGTTGTTTTTCCAGGCTAAACTTCTCATATAACTCAGCTCTGAGGTCTCAACAAGTACTTTTGAGTATTTGACAAGACCTGAAGGTTTTTTCCTGATAGAATTGCTGCTGCCCCCATCTTTGCTGATGAGAAGTGCGAATATACATAGTAAACTTTCACACCATAATGATAGCTTGCTCAGACTTGCATCTGAACTATAAAACCAAAAAAAAAAAAAAAACCAAACTCACTGCTCTCAAGTCGGATCTGACTCACAGGGACCCCTCCTTGGGTTTCCAAGGCAGTATCACTACGGGAGTAGATTGCCCAATCTTCCTTCCAAGGAGTGGCTGGTGGGTTTGAACCGCCAGCCTTCTGGTTAGCAGTCAGATCCCTTAGTCACTATTTGTCCTCCTTTCATTCCTGCCATAAGTCCCCTTGTCAGCACTCAGGGCTACTTCTGACCAGGTAGATGTGAGTGGAAATAGTATGTGCCACTTCTAGACCAGGCCAGTGACAAACTCCTTTTTTCTGTCGTGGCATTGTGGAAGAGCCCTCCAGTTGAATTGGAGCCACAAGATCAAAGTGGCCTTAAATTGCTGAGTGACCATGTGGAGCTCAGCTGGACCCATAGTGACTTTGCATGATCAAAAACTAAAATTTTATTATGTTAATTTTTAATTATTACTGTTTTAAAAACCCTAATGTTTCTTCTTAACCACAGAAGAACCCAGCCTATTACTGAATGAAGATTTAGCAGTAAACAATTTTTTTCTAATCATAAGTAAGAATCCTGTCCTTGAGCAGTGTTTTCTTCTATAAAATCAAAATAGAAAACTTTATTTCAAAAGGCTTTTATTTGTTATTTTAACTTTATATAGGTCTCTTTTAAAATGAACCTTTTGTTTTATTTTTAATAGATTTAGGATAATTTGAATTTATCCTTGTAGCATCAAAGTTAACATAGAACACAGCTCTCTGACTTATTCACTGGCTGAAGGACTTAGTCACTTCCCTTATTTGACCTCAGGTACTACTTCAAATTGGAAAAGCTGAGAAGCTTTATACAAATCCCTTTGTATGTGGTTTTGATTGGGCAAATTATTGGACAGAAAATGACTAGTTTGTGATATGAACTTCAAGGAAGCCAGGAAATTCAGAGCAAAAGCCAGCATGTCATGTTTGCCTTACTTAGTTCTTTCCTCTCTAATTTTGAACATAAAGAGGAATTTATTCATGCAGTTGTTTCTTTACAACTGTAATGTTTTTGTTACAATATCTCCTTTTAAGTGAGAAATTTCTATGTAGGAGTATATGAAATCTTTTACACTATACAAAATGGTTTGTTGTTGTTAGATGCCATGAAGTTGAATCTGACTCATAGCAACCCCTCCTTGGGTTTCTGAGGTGGTATCACTATGGAAATAGATTGCCCAACCTTCCTTCCAAGAAGTGGCTGGTGAGTTTGAACTGCCAGCCTTCTGGTTAGCAGTTAAGTGCCTTAGGCACTATGCTTCTAGAGCTCCTATGCAAAATGGTTTAAGAAAGTAAAATTTTTCAAGCAAGTGTAGCAACTAATTTGCTTAATTTCAACGTTTGAGTTTTGAATAAATATTTGGCCAAATTTCCTTGCTGCAATAAAATTTTTGACAACTTGCAGTAGTGGTAAGTAGTTCAACTACTAAGGACCTTCAGAGCAGCTACTAAAACAACTTTTATTTGGAAAAAAAACTGAGACCGATATAAAGAAAAACCCACCCACTGCCAGTGAGTCAATCCACTCATAGCAACCCTAGAGGACAGAATAGAACTGCCCTATAGGGTTTCCAAGGCTATCAATCTTTATGGAAGCAGCTGGTGGGTTCAAACTGCCAACCTTTTGACTAGCAGCTGATGGCCTTAACCACTGTACCTCTAGAGCTGCTTATAAAGAAAAATAAGTACTGTGAAATTAACCAAAGATAGTTCATAGACTGTTGAAAGAAAATCAGCTGAATTTATAAAACTATTTTAAAGTGGATGAAGGTATTTTTAAAAATCACACAACTTTTTATCTTGATTTTAATCACCTTTCTGAAAACACCTTTTAGGACCAGGTTTGCTGGTCTGATAAAGCCTGATGGAACCACTGAGACTATGGCCCCTAACTGCCCTTCGGGTCTGGAATTGAACCCACACCTGTGGCTTTCAGCCAAATAAGACACAGGCATATGAGGTGAACATTTATACTACTAGGTAGTTACACTCCTTGAAGAGAACAATCATGGGAGAATAGAAGGGCTGTGTGTACCACAGGGATATAGCTCAGGGGACAGGAGTACATGGAGGGAAGGACACAGGGAAGAGGTAACTATGGGGAGGAAGAGGGAGGGGAACTTACATTGTGGTAAATTGTTGTCAATGTCATGAGACAAAGTGAACTGCTGTATGGAAAGTGAATTTGCTCTGTAAACTTTCACCCAAATCACAAAAAACTTTTTTAAAAAAACAACCTATTTTTATGCTCTATTCTATAGAAGATGTTTCTGCTCTTCTGAGACCTGGTTCCAGTGAGCAGAGGGCATCACTATTTTGCTCTTGTTGCATTATTAGCAGTGGTTGGTGACATAGGTAAAGAGGCCATCCTATCACGGTGATAAAAGCATAAACACCTTTTCCCATGCTAGCTGCTGGCCTGTCTGAATTGATGCTTTGTTGTCCCATCTACAACAAATGACTTCATGCAAGAGATTTATTTTGTAGCAGTACTCTGTAAAAATTTAATTAAGGTTAATATGGGCTGACTTCATGGTGGTAAAGAAAGGGAAACTAAGCTTAGGCTGAACTATAAGATATTTACAGTTATTTTATCTTACTTTCATATAGCAATTAGTTGTCAGTTTCTGCTTCTTCAGCCCTTCCACTACATATATTCCAAACACTGAAGCAAAACCTACCTAGAAACTCCCA